ACACGAATACCGTTGCGGTGCAGCCAGTTATAGTTTTCAAGTCTAGTTTGAATTGCATGCCGAAGCTCTATATACTGCGAGTATGCCGGAAGTAGGTCAGCGCCGTGGCGCGGTGTTGGCGGTGTCGGAGTAAAGTACGGGAAGGCAGTGCCGGCGTGAATGGCTGCTGGGCATTCAATGTGTGCGGATTCGACAATTTGCTGAATTATATGGCTAAAATGTCTGGTTTGGTTTTGTGCGAATTCGTCGGCGAGTAAGTAATTGGTATGTAGACACATTGTGTATGTGTGTGCTTGGCAAAATATTTGCCTTCATGGTTATGCACAAAATAAACGCGTATGCTTTGCATCTGTTGGCTGTTGTTGGCGTTGATAAGCAAATCTTACTCTATACTTGTATATATGTTGAGTCGCATTTTTATACCTTTTTTGATGTATTAGCTTTGTTGCTTACCGATTAACGTGAGCAATCATTAATCATGTGTGTGGCTCTCTGCTCTTAGTAAGCGTGAAGTAAGTACAAAGTGAAAGTGCTGATGCTTAACCGCAATTACCTTGTGATTGAATTGGTTTAGAATTTTAAATTTGGATCACTGAAGGCAAATTTTCTTAAAAACAAGAAAAAAAAATTAACTTCGGTTGCAACGATGCTAAAATACCCTTCACAAATAAAAACTGTTCTATACAAGAACTACATTTTGATCGATAAGTTTGTATGGCACCTTCATGCTATAGTGATTCGATCTGAACAGTTTTTTCGGAGGTTCGTGAATATATCTTATCAAATAAATAAGTTCTCTATACCGATCGTTGATTCCGATCGTTCAGTTTACATTACAGCAGTATGATATATATCTCGTGAAAAAAAGTTTTCCATACAAAAACTTGATTTTGATCGGTCAGTTTGTATGGCAGCTATATGCTAAAGTGGTCCGTTATCGGCGATTCCGAAAAATAAGCAGCTTCTTGGTGAGAAAATGATGTGTGCGAAATTTCGATCGATATCTCAAAAAGTGAGGGTCTTGTGCGCGTACTTAGCTAAATCGACTCAGCTAGGCACGGTCATTTATACATATACAAGTATTGTATTTGGTAGGGTCTGCGCCGTTTTCTTCTGGGTGTTACAAACTTCGTGGCAAACTAAATGTACTCTGTTTGGTACGACATTCTATCTTTCTATCAAAGTTATACGAAAATGCATGTAACTATCTCTCTCAACCGATAAGTCATACTGTCTCTTAGTCTATGAAAATATCACATATTCATTTATTAGATATGCAATTGAGAAATATGAATAGCTGAGTTATAGAAGGAAATTTGGCAAGAAAAAGCAAGTTTTGCAGAAGCTTGGCAAACGCTGGACAACCATACGTATGTACTTGTGCGGTCGCAAGTTTCTTCTGAATGTAGAGGTAGAAATATCAACACTTACTTCTTTACTGTCCCGCTTTTGTAAAAACAAGGCTAAAAAACTTCGGATTTGACATCTTTAGACATCCAGATGAGATGGGGTAGGAATAGAATATATGCCCCAAAGCAGATTTGTGATGACTTAAGCCCGAATAACAAAGAACTGTACATAAGAGTACAAGTGTGATCCCCTATATTTTGGGTTGGTTTTAAATGCGTATAAAATATTTTAACGAGAAACATTTATTAATTAATGAATTTTTGGCCCACCTAGATTTTAAACATAATGAAGCTTCAACTATGTTAACTAAGGAACTCAAATGCACTTTTCTCAAGTAATAAGTATACGAGTATCGAGCTGAGAGTATTATACAAATATTACGAAATAAGCGACTATTCCGGAGAATTTTTTTGAATTGCTTCAATTGAAACAACATTTGAAATGACGTAACTACATTTCGAAAAAACCAGTAGCATAAATGGATAAGCCATCTACCATTTACTAGTAGCTGAACAGTTTAAAATGCCTTTACAAGATTTAAAAAAAAAAAATATTACACAAAAAAAAATTAATTACGAAAACCAAACTGATTTAAATTGTATCAATAATTTATAAATATAATGCCTTTGTCATGATTGTGTTGCATTAATAATTGAAAATGAAACGAATAGCTGAGAATGCAATACCAACCATCTACATTTATTTGCTTTTCAGGGGCAATTCGTACCTTTTATGCCTGTTTTCCCCCGTACTCCTATCTTTTTGTACATTTTTCTCATCTATTTTAATGTAAAGTCTGCACATTAATATTCAATTAAGCTCAATTAATCTTTCAGTATATAGCAGCATTTATATGACTACACAAAGTCAATGTGTATTTGATTTAAAAATGTCAGCAAATTGAAATTGTATATTTAGTTTTATACATTAACGTGGGTCTATGTATTTTTTTAATAAAAATTGTGTGGGGTTTTGTGTAAAATAAAACTGAACAAAAATATATTTGAAATAGAAATTTAAAGTATATATTTAAATAAACATTTTTCCAGACATAGATATGCTATTTGTTCCGCTTATATGCATTTAATACGCTTATTGTGGCTTACAACTCAAGTCCTCTTCAGTCGAAATTTTTAAAGTTGGTGTAAACTAAAAAATTTATTGAGTTTTCATCGTATAACATATTTTTTTATGATTGTGGTTGTCACCAATTCAACTACGATTCAGTTGAATTTTTAAAATTTCGTAACATCAAAAAATTTAAAGTTAGTTGTCATCGTCTAAGACATTCTTTTGTGGTTGGGGTTTTTAACAACTCAACAACTCAATTTGGTATTAACAAAGAATGTAAATTAGTTGTCATAGTCTAACATATTTTTTGTAGTTGTGGTTGTTTACAACGCAATTCTATTTCAGTTGAAATTTTTTAAATCAAGAAAATTTGTTATCAAGAAAATTTAAAATGAGTTGTTATAGTCTAATATATTTTTTGTAAGTGGCGGTTGTTTAAAACTCAACTCCACTTTAGTTGAAATTTTAAAATTTCTTATTATCAAAAAAATTTAAATTGAGTGTCCATCCTCCTGCAATTTTTTTGTGGTGTTTCCGTTAACAACCCTATGCTAGTGCGTTTGGAGTAACGCCAAAATTTAACTACTTATTTCTAGCAATTGCCATGGTGAATTCTTGCAGTTGTTTTCAAAAATTCAATATGTTGAATCGATACAACTCACCACTTCCGGAAATGCTGTTTTTTAACATTATAAAAACATTTTTGTTTTAACTTTTTGTTTAGTTTTAGATATTGTAATTATGATAAAAAACTCGTTCTTGAAAGTTCCAAAATGCTTGCTTAGTAAATAGAACCAAAACTCGTAAACTTGCAAGCTCTTGTAAAATTTAAATACTTTTACGTAATTATTAACTGTTAGGTACTTAGCAAGATAACTAACCGTTGCATAATACAACTTCAACTGAAACTAGCTATGATTCGTAAAACCTAAAAAGAATTTAGATTTTTTCCAGTTGAGTTGCTTCAATTTCAACTCAACTAAGTTGAGTTGCAAAGCGTAATATATGTACAAATATCTGAATGTATAGTATGTTTTGTGGTGCACTCATGTCGCTTTGAAATTGTTGTGCCGCATAATTTTATTTTCAAATTTTATCAAATCAAGAAAAACTAGATTGAACTTTTTAATACAATAAACTAAATTATAAATAAATGTGAACAAATAAATTAAATTTTGAAACCCGAATTTTTAACAACTTTGCGCACTTATTTCAACTGTTTGCTGGCATCTAATTTATTCTCTTTTAGTATTACGATAAATTTTCCTTTATCCATTTGCATAGCAGCAACAACCCTAATGCTGTGCACCCACTGCCAAGTTCTTATTTACGCTCAGACACTGAGTAGCTTTTAAATGGGTAAATGGAAATTAAATATAAAAAAGTATATTAGTATATAGTATAGCTTGTCTGTTTTCTTAGAAATTTATTTACTGTAATTTCTATTATTTTTATGGGAGTTTCTGCTGTGCTTTGTACAATCATAAGTGAATTATGCGAAGTAATTGAGAAGGAAAATATTTTATTGAAATTTGAAATGAAATAAACTTCCAGAGCGCACTCCAATAACTAAGATGGAATAATTGAACAAGCAATATTATATTAAAACAAGTAAGGAAGGGCTAAGTTCGGATGTAACCGAACATTTAATACTCTCGCAAAGTCAGTAAAGTAGACAATTTTTGATCACAAGGTGGCATACTTCAAACGCATTATTCACGCAAAGTTTTACCCCGATACACTAATTTTTGCTTGATATGCATAGTGGAAAGTGACAGAATCAGATGGAATTGAAAATGATGTTATATGGGAAATAGACGTGGTTGTAGTCCGATTTCGCCCATTTTCGTACTATGACATAGAAATATGAAAAGAACGTTATGCACCGAATTTGGTTGAAATCGGTTAAGCAGATCCCAAGATATGGGTTTTCACCTAAAAGTGGGCGGTGCCACGCCCACTATCTAATTTGAACGCGGTTCCTAAAAAGTCCTCTCATACCATCCCAGAGATAAAATTTAATGTCTCTGGCGTGTTTAGTGCTTGATTTATCGCGATTTCAACTATTTTCACACTGTAGGTAGAAGTTTTAAAAACATTTGCTTCTAGTGAATTTTGTTATTATAGCATTAGCGGTTTAGGAGATATGCATATTAAATCTGTTAGTGGCGGGACCACGCCCACTTTAAAAAAAAAATTTAACTGCAGATACCCCTCCCTATTGAGATCCTGTATACCAAATAAGAGTCTTGTATCTTGTTGTGCAGCTTAGTTATGTGGCAGTGGTCCGATTATGCCCATCTGCGATACCAACCGTCTCACGGTACCAAGAAACATGTCTACCAAGTTTCATAAAGATATCTCAATTTTTACTCAAGTTAGAGCTTGCACGGATGGACGGACGGACGGACAGACAGTCACCCGGATTTCAACTCGTCTCTTCATCCTGATCATTTATATATATATAACCCTATATCTAACTCGATTAGTTTTAGGTAATACAAACAACCGTTAGGTGAACAAAACTATTATCTCTGTAGCAACAGGTTGCGAGAGTATAAAAAGTGTAAACAATTTTATCTGCTGCCAATTTTGAATCTATTATTATATCTGTAAAATTGCATAAACATTTGCAGCATTGTTGCTGTAATTAATCGGCGCAATGAGTTTTATATTCTGTGCATTTGTTTTTTTTTGTTGGTGTTTTCAGTAAGGTTATCATAGAAATGCGTTTGTAGGCAGAACTAGATTTCATAAATGTTTATTGGTATTGGAAAAATCATCAACTAAAAGTTCTTTTCTGAATGCAGATATGAAAATAATTCGCAAAAAGCGCATTTGCAGTGGTAAAAGGTGCAGTTGAAATTCATATTTCCATCACAGCAGTTTCCACAATATAATTGATATTTAATATCTAAAATTGATGTTCGAAATTTTGAATTATTTTACCATTGTAAAGAATGTGTTTCTGTTCGATCTTTGTGTATTTGGGTGGGTAGATTTTTTTTAATTTTTACTAAGATATGAAAGTTGTGAATGTATTTTGAAAATTTTAAACAAAAAATATGCTTGTATAAAGTAATAATATTTATTCTCCACGGCTGATAATTATATTAAGTTTGATAATTAATATATATATTATATATAAGTCCTAAAAATATTTAAATTTCAAAAATATATCTCTTTAAATCTTCTGAGAGGAGGTAGAGAGGAGGGGAGTTGGGCACTTAATTAGTCCAGAAAAAGAATCGTTATAAATTATTAAATTTTGCTAAAGTGATAAATTGGAAGCTATACATATGCATTAGAACTCCTCCAAGAAAAAAATGTGTAAGCTGGAATAGAATTTTAATTTATTATTAATTAATTGTTTAATTATAAAATAAAAATATATACTTGATTTTAACGTTAATATTAAGCTTTAGTCTAAGCTTAAAGTAGTGGAAAAGTATCTCATATATAAAAATCATTTGACTTCAATTACCTCAATGCACTTCCTTTCTCGCTGCTTACATATTACTTTAAAAAAGCAACTACTTGCCACTAGTTTACTTATCATTACAAATATACCATGTTTATATGTATATTTGCCTAATCTAAATATCAAACGAACACCCACACACATACATACAAAAACTTAAATCAATTAGTAACTTTGGACTAAATAAATATACTGCAGCGCAATTGTTTTGCTTACCCACACGCATAAATCGAAAAATCAAATCAGTTATCGGCAAACATTTACCTATACATATACATACAGATGTATACTACGTATATGTATTGCCGCCACTACCATATTTACATACATATCAACAAACGCACTGCACACGTGAACTGCCGCAGGCATGACTATGGTGGCGCGCACATCATCATCTACATTTTAGTTGGTGCTTTTGTGCGAACAATTTCAGAGAGCACCACCTTACAGACGCGCCGCGGAAGCATACAACGCTTTCGTTGCCGGCGAGCGCACTGGCCGAAGCGTCGCGCTACTCACTGCGGCTGGCGCCGCCGCCGCAAGCATTGCCTCCGAGTGCGCTTCGTCCGTCAGGAGTTGTTGGCCAGCCGGAGGCGCTGCCGGTAGCGATGGTGATGACGATGACGACGACGATGACAACGACGTTGACGCCGCTGCCGGCGCTATCTGCCATGATGTCGTCGTCACTTCCGCAGCTGTCGGTTCGGCACTGCACTTTGATGCCGTTTGGCGTTTAATTAGCATTTCACTCGATTTGACGGCAATCCATTCGTTGCGCGTTGCATCGAACCAAGTCAAACCCAGATTGTAGCGTCCATTTAGATTGGCGTGCTGACAATGCGAGAACCACCAGCCACCCTCATAGTTTGCGGCGCAGTGCGTCTGTGAGATATCGCGATCGACATCGATCGCCGAGAACTGCATGCCCTGTTGATAGTCGAGCGCATCGGAGGCATTGCCGCTGTAGCCGGCGGTATTCAGGCGATAACCATCGGCGCGGGATGAAATGTAAAAGCGATCGTATTGTGCCAGCCAAACATTATCGTAAATATCCTGCATGAGTATGAGTAGTTGAGTGCAATTATTGCGTGTCAAATGATGTAGCTGTTCATTGCCAATCCAGTATTCGCCGGCTGGTTGTCCGAAACCGGTAGCGTAATCAGCCCAAGACCTATTGAAGTCGGCGCTGCCGTCGTAACGTCGCTGTATGGTGGTCCAACCGTCCGCGGTGCAATGCACCAAGCGTGGTTGTTGCTGGCCGGCTGGTGAAATCATAAAGAGGCCGGCCGCACTGCCGGTTGGCGCTCCGCTGCAGTCCTGTGGGAGATTCTGTATTATGGACTCATATTGCTCTTCGACATTTTCGAGCTTAGCGACCAGCGATTCGGCGTCATGTGCCTCTGCTGTTCCCGGAGGAATGTTTTTGTCGTCATTGTTATTCTTGCTGCTGGTGTCTCGATGTTGGTGATTGTGATGCTTTTGGTGAGAGTGGTGTAACTGAAAGGAGAATAAAAAGGATACGTCTGTGTTAAAAGTACTCATACTACCTTGGTTTGCTGGGAGTTCAAAGTTGAATGACTTATATGTCATATATTAAATACATAATGTGCTTCATGTTAATATGTATTTGGGTCTAGTCAACGGAGGCTAAAATGCTGAAGTATATATTTGTTAACATGTCTGAATATGGATTATAATGGTAGATTACTACATATACAACACGAACTGAAGTGTTAGTGCTTTGATGTCTACCATTATGCTATTTCATAACTCTTAACTTGTGTGGGTTACTGACGTTGGCGATATGCCAGAAAATTTTGTTGGGAAATCTAACCCTCGCCTCATATAATGGGCTTTTGTTGCATTTTGTAAATTTAAGTTGTGCTTGTTAGACTTCTGGACCTCTCTAGGTTTTTGTTTTGTGAAGCTGATAAGCTTTATCCCAACATCAGTGTGAAGCTTGGATTCTTCCCTTGAGTTCGCTGCGAGCTAGTCAACCATCAGCATTCCCGCTGCTGCAAAGGTTGGTTCATCTTCCGACTCTAGTTGTTGGAACATTGTTCGTTGTTCATCCATAGTTTTGTCGAACACCAATTTACAAAGTTCTATGGAAGAACGCAATTTGCAATCATCTCGACATTTTATATTGGACTGCTTAGCTTTAAAAAGACTGTACTTAAAATATCTAGAATGTCACAGATTCAGTCGTCCGAACAAATTGGCTGGAAATTAATTTAATTGCTTTAAAAGACTTGTAATAAGCTCAACGCGCTTTGTCGACCAACCCATGCATGACCCGAGCTTTAGTACCTAACCTAACATACCTAAAATTCTAAATTCGTAAATTTAGCTTAATCCCATTCCTTTCACCTCACTTGAAGCCCGAACTAGCCCTACCAGAGGACATAAATAGTTCTCGAGCAGAAGCTACTGCTTTTTGCATGCTTTGGCAATATAAATGTGAACTACTGCTTCTCAGTTTCTACAAAAATGGGCAGACTATTACTTTTTAGGTGTTTCCACTTGTTTTTTTTTTTAAAGTTCACCAGTGAAAATATGCTCCTCATCTTTTTTCTTCAACCTCGCATTACAATTGCACTCTGATATCACGTGTCCTTCGTTCTTCCCGATTTGAGGCAGTGAAATCAGAAGAGAAGTGAATTGTGAAAGGGAAATGATAGAGAATAGAGCTTGTCAGGAGCACGTCGGAAATCATTTTGTGTCGTCTTTATGCCGGAAATACAATTTAAGTGTGGTACGCTTGAAAAGAACGTGTCAACAAAGTGAAATTTAAGAGTGCCTGAGTGGCGTGCAGTTAGCGGGTGACCACGCAGATTCTACGGCAGTTAAAAGAACCGGGAATGGCTGGACGGATGATGAAGGTATATGTATATTGGAGATGAGTGCAAATATCTAGTCGTGTTGGCAGTTCAGCTGGAGATAAATATGCAGAGAAGGTGGAGAGGAGATGGAAGTGTGAGTGCGCTTTGATTGTTTGGGTTTGCGTGACTGAACGAGTGACTGTCAAAGTGCGGCCGACAGAGAGGGTATGTAAGTAGGTACTGGTAAAGTGAGTGGACTGCTGTCTACATGCGAACGAAATGTAACAATCTCGCACACTGGACGACGGAAAATATAAATTTAAGAAAAACGTGAAAATAAAGAAAAACACCAACAACAAAACACACGCAGGAAATGCGGTATAGAAGTAAGTAGTACATATTAGTGACAAAAGCAACGCTGAACGGATGTCACAGTAACAAAAGCAACGAAAGAAAGGGAGTGAGAGAGAGCGACAACACGCACAGCACGCTAACGGAAACGGATGCTAGCTTAGAACGCGCGGATGTTGGCGTGGCTGGGCGTGTGGCCGAGAACAAAGCGAGGGACGCTCACAATAATGAAGAAAAATCAAAGGTTGGCGGCAAGAAATGTTTGCACGCCTGTAACTGCGTAATGCGAGCAGCGTGCTCTGCGAAGTGAAAACAAAATGTGCTGGCAACACAAGCAACAACGCTCGCATGCACACAACCAAGTGTACACGAGTGAGTGTGGGGAGCGCCGAGAGGGTGTGGTAAAAGTTTCAAAACAGTCACGCGTCGTTGGCTACACTAAATTGCTGCCATTTAAGCTCGTATGCTGCAGATTTGCGCTCGTTATATGCTTTGCTTTCCGCCCTCACCATTCACATGCATCACCATTTTCGTTGAGCTTCCTTTCATTTTTTGCAATTTTAAATTCGCTTTATTATTTCAGCACTTTGGCAAAGTATAATAGAAAATTGCTTAAAAATGAGTTGTGCTCAAACACGGTTGGAAAAAAAATTACACAGGAAATGAATGGAGCAAAGTGTTTCCGGTCATTAACACGATGGCCTTGCATATGTTGACACGGACTGATTGTCTCGTGGTTGCCAGCAATGAATTTGTACTGGTTTGCTCGCTTTTTGTATAAGCTGTTTGCTGCTGTAACGGAAATTTAAATTATTATGCGCTTGCAATTTGGAAATTATGGAATGAATGAAAATGCACTGTCACCAGAGGATAATTTTATCATCGAAAAGTGGTGTGCGAAATGCAAACAAAGTTGAATAGTTGAGAACCGATTGTACGGAGCACTATTTTACTAAATTAATTTCGACTATTCGGTGCAATCTTGGCAGGTTCGAAAGACAGAAAGTTAAGCGATTGTAGAGGCTGATCCACGGGTTGGGAAGCAAAGTATTTTTGGGTGTTAAAGCCTCTAAAAAAGCGGATATTTTAATTCAAATTCAGAAGAATATCAATATTAACAAGTAAGGAAGGTCTAACATTTTATACTCTCACAACTTGCAAGGATCAAAGCCCGGGAAATTACTTCAGGTGTTGGCAAAATTGTATATTAAAAGAAGTATTGATCCGATTCAACCCATTTTTGACACAAAGACATAATATTATCGAGAGTTTCATTTATTTATTTTATTATATGAATTTCACTTATATATCTGACACATTGGCCGATATTTTCGGAAAAAAGTCAACTATAGGCATTGGGGCCCACATATTCAGTACCTAGGGGCTTGAACAGTTTAGGCTCGATTGAGGCAATTTTTAGTCACAAGGTGGCATACATTAAACGTATTATTCACGCAAAGTTTTACCCCGATATAATTATTGTTGCTTGATATGCATAGTGGAAAGTGAAAGAATCAGATGGAATTGAAAATGGTATTATATAGGAAATAGGCGTGGTTGCAGTCCGATTGCGCCCATTTTCGCAATATAACATAGAAATATGAAAGGAACGTTATGCACCGAATTTGGTTGAAATCGATTAAGCAGATCCCAAGATATGGGATTGCACCTATGAGTAGGCGGTGGCACACCCACTGTATAATTTTAAACTCGTTTCCTACCAAGTCACCTCATACCATCTCAGAGATTAAATTTAATGTCTCTGGCGTATTTAGTGCTTGATTTATCGCGCTTTTAGTAGTTTTTAACAGTACCGTCATAAGGGGAGTGGGCGGGGTTGTCACGCAATTTCATCCATTTTTACACTGACGATAGAGGTGCTAAAAACGTTCGGTTTCATTGAATTTTGATGGTATAGCTTCAGCGGTTTAGGAGATATGCACATTAAACCCATTAGGAGCTGGACCACACGAACTTTTAAAATAAATTTTAAACTGCAGATGCCCCTCCCTAATGTGATCCTGTGTACCAAATAACAGTCTTGGATTATTTTTATTGCGGAGCTTAGTTATGGCAATTTATTTGTTTTTGATTAATGACGATTTGTGGGCGTGGCAGTGGTCCGATTATGCCCATCTGCAATATCAACCGCCTTACGGTACCAAGAAACATGTGTACCAAGTTTCATAAAGATATCTCAATTTTTACTCAAGACAATCACCCGGATTTTAACTCGTCTCTTTATCTTGATCATTTATATATTATATTATATTATATACATAACCCCATATCAAAATCGATTATTTTTAGGTGATACAAACAAAACTATTATACTCTGAAGCAACATGTTGCGAGAGTATAAAAATACGTTCGACGGAAACCCCTTCACCTCCAAAAAAAAGCAAGAAATTCTGGATCCGCTACTGGAAGGTTGCCATATGTTTAACAACTTTAATTTTATTTATTATTATGTGAAAGGTCTACAAAATGAGTATATATATTAATATATTTGAGGAACTGTAAGGTGAAATTTGTAAACGGTCAAAAATAACAATAGATGCCAACAATTAACGTTCTTTTTAAAACTATTTAAATTGTTAAAATAAATTTAATTGAACGAGAATTATGAAATACGTTTTTCGGTATGGCTCTTTCTTCAATTCTGATTTAGTCTCATCAATTGTGGTAAAAGGCTTTCCTTTCATTGATTTCTTCAGTTTTAGGAATAGGAAAAAGTCACAGGGAGCCAAATCTGATGCATACAGTGGTTGAGGCATGATTACGGTTTTGTTTTTGGCCAAAAATTCACAAACAAAAATTTAGCAATTTCGGAACAAACCACTGCCTCACGTTTCATGCCCAAAACATTTTTGAGATTAGGTGGACTCACCGAATGCCACAGTCAACATTTCAAGTGGCTTGGAGTACTTTATCTCATTTTTAACGCAAAATTTCATGCATATTCTTTGATCCATTTCTTTCAAAAGTCAAAAATTGAAGGGCACACAAAAACCTGACTAACCTTTTCTGTTGTCAAAAACAAACTACTCATCAAAATTGGTTCCTAATGCAAGCACATAATAAACATATGTGTCCGATTATAACAATAATAAAATATTGATGATCGAATGTATACAGCGCACAAAAATCAAAATTCACCTTTTTCTTTGAACACACCTAAGTTACATCACTTGAAAGCGTTCTTAAATCCAGACCTCATATTGACCTAACATGTTTTTCCAAATATATTTGGAAAAAGAGTCTTTGAATTTTAAACAGGAGAAAGAAAACTGATGTATTTGCAGCGTTAGCAGAGGTGCCGTGTAAAAAAGTGAAGGGATCTCCCATTTTGACTATTCGACTTTTCTGGGGTTCTTCAAGCAAATTGGCAGACTATTGACGATCGTAAAGCAAATATTTGTGATACAATCCTTCTGTTGCCATCATCAAAAGTGAACATTTGATGAGAACAGGTTAATTCACATTTTATGTCTATTTTTAAACTGTTTCGCATTAAGTTATCGACTTTATGAACGAACTGGTATTTTTCCAAATAATTTTCAGCTAACAATTTAACTGCGTAACATCTTATAAACAAATATCGCCGTAATTGCAACATGCCTACACTCTACGGCTTGACGCTGGACTGGTGTGGAAAACCCTAGTCTCGCAAAACAACTCAATTAATTTGCCCCAAGGCTCACTTAAACACACGCATCCTATACAAGACGCACATACATATATACAACTCACCTTGTGTTCTGCACTGCGCTGCTTCTGCTGTTGCATCACCGCACGTTGCATATCCTGTGACACGCTCTCCAGTCGGTCCAACTTGCCTCGCAGCTGCGCCACCGCCACCTGCATTTGTTTATTAGCATCACGCTCATCCTGCAACGTGCTCACGCTCACCGCCATCGCCTGCACCGACCGCGCCACATTTTTGCCCTCTTCACGCAGCAGACTCTCCTCCACGGTAAGTTGTGCGCTGGTGAATTCTAATTTGGAAATTTCATGCCTCAACTCAGGTAGGCTTTTATCCATTTTCGTTTGCAAACTCTCGACATCTTCGAGCAGCTCCAGCATTGAAGTGTGCAATTTATCGAGCGAGGCAATTTGTCGACTCAAATTGAAATTGGCATCGGCCATACGATGCTGTTCGATTTCCAAGTTGCGTACACGTTCGCCTATGCGATGATACTTCAGTTCGTTCAATTGGGATTTTAGTGAGCGCTGTGCCAGTTGGAGTTCATGGATTTGTTGTCGCTGGAAACGGCAATGGCGGCGCTTGTGATCGGCAGTTAGTGGGTCGTGGATTAGCTGAAAATGGAGTAGAATGGAGACAATCGGTTAGTGTCGCTCGATGACATAGTGAATGCGAAGTTAATTGACTTCTTTGTTAAGTAAATAAAATGATATTGATGATATCTATTCGACGGCAGTAAGTAAAGCATTTAACATCTTGTTCTAAGCAGTGTCGGGACAATATAAACGGAATGGAGGAGGTTTAAGTTCCACTTAAAGAATTAGAACTTAGCCAGCCTACTTGCCTTCCAGTAATGTTTTAATCTGTTATAACAACAACATCTTTCCGTTCAAAATAGTTGGTATTCAATAGTTCAGTTCAGTAGTTCAGCATACATATCGATATCTTTTGGAAACTTTTCTGATAAGGAGGTTCTAAGCCTGGGAGTGGAATTGCCATTTTTTTGAAATTTTTTTTAACCTTAAAAAGTTTTTGACACTCTTCTTTAAGCAATTGGGAACTCTTCATTTTCATGGTATTTTATTATAGAGTTACCATCATTCGAAAAAAAGAGTTTGAGCATATTGCTGCTAAAAGTGTTTCAAGAGTGAAATATTTAGGAAGCGCTGTCACTTTGCGGGAAGTTTTTGGGTAAGTTTTAATTTGGAATAATTATACCCTGTACAAGGTTTATCAAGTTTGCCACCCAAAAAGAGACGCCGAAGACTCTATAGGGTATATATATAAGTGATCAGCATGACGAGCTTAGTCGAACTAGTCTCTCAGTTTTTGAGATAAGCTGCTTTCCGCCGATTTTGTACAATTAGTGCATGTAGCTGCAAAACAAACTGACCGATCAAAATCAAGAAGAATGTCTTTTTATACTCTTTTATGCTATAAAAAATGCACTTGTAAAGGGTATTATAGCTTCGGTGTAGCCAAAGCTAAGGTTTTTCTTTTTGAATTTTGAAAAAAACTAACCTCATATGTGTATTAGAAACATTACAATCCTCGTTTTTAAATTACAGAGTTGCCACTTTGTTTACACCGTAGATCTATCCTTGATCAACCTTCAAACATTTTTATTTTATTTTATAAAAGTTTTGAGATTTCAAAACATGTTTTAACGCTAAAAATCAACGTTAAACAAAATATTCTAGTAAACTGATATTAAAGAAAATAATTTCATTTCCTTGAAGTAGAAAAAATTTGAAGAAGTAGTGTTAACAGTTATTGGATAAATTATGTAAAGTCCTGAAATCTGACTGCTTGGGCAAAGCTTTTACTCAAGTCAATAGGGCAAGTAAGTTGTTGACTTGTTTCTTAATTCGATGTTGGTATATACAAATTGTAAAAATAGCAATTTCATTTCTTTAAAAAAAATTCTCAGGCATTTTAAGCAATTGTTAAAGTTTCAGCGGTGAACTATGGAAACCGTTAATAAAATATAAAAATATAACTGAAAGCAAAATTTAAAATGTAAATCCATACAAAATATGTACCAACTACCAGAGTCTATGAATGTAAGATAAATATTGAAAACACATGTTTAAATGTTGCAAGTACACATTGCCAACTGCACGGTCACCGGCGGCTACGACAAATTGTGGTACCCCACAGACTAGTGGCGAATTTTCATTCACCAGTTTCTGTCTTTTATTTACGTTTTGCTCAACGCTCCAACCGGAATTAAAGAAAAGACTATATATATATATATATATATATACACATAGTAAGTACACATTAAGCTATATATATGTGAGGCTAACCGAAAACAGCACAAAATGTGGAACACCATTGGAAACTCTAAAAATTTAAAAAAAATTGTAAGAATATGTGGAGAGACAAGGTATACATTTTACACATTTATAGAAACATATTTGAACTGAATATTGCCAGTGGCTTTCTTCCAAATTTATAGGTTCCATATTTGAGCTCAAAACATTTTAAATTTTATAGTTCGTTTTATCAATATCTAGAAGGGGTTTCTGTTAAGACTCTACTCAAATTTGGCTTGGAAATATCGCGTGTCTTCTGGTTTTTCAATGTGCAGAAATTTATTAATTTAATATTATCTGATTTCTAATGATATTGATTTAAAAATTATCATACTCAGACTCGTTTACGAGTTTAAATTTATAAACGATGATATTAGTAGAAATTGATATACATATACCAGTTTTGTATTATATAATCGGTATTTATATATGTATATTTGCTTAATTTTAAATTCTCTTAGGTTGTTTTCTTTCATATATTAAATATCAAAGCTTAACTTTTTCTACCGTTTTACTTTCAATAGCAAGAAACAAATGCAAAGTCAAATTTACAGAGTCAGCGAAATTTGTGAACTGGAAATTTTTACGAAAGTTAAAATATGAGTAAGGATATACATATATAAATATGTAAACAGTCTCATATATATTAAGGTGTGCGTAGTTTCCTAAGCTGGTTGTTTTTTTGCAAACGCCTTCTGAAGTATCAGCTTTTGCCCAAAAAACAAGGATCAACGTAAACAAGCTTTTTATTTTCAAATTAAGCCGTGCTTAAATCATATTTCTTTTCCCATATATATAACAGGGGTAGTTTTGATATTTTGCATTAAGCACATAAGTTTACAATTTTATAATTTGAAATTAAGTAAAATTCTAATACAAAATTCTACGCGCTACAAAAAAGATTGCAATAATTTTTTCGATAAAAACATTCCTTTAACGTTTATACGCAATTAAGTTTACATATAAAATGATCTGTGCATTCATACTCGTACAAGTGATTTATACAATACATTCTGTGTTGCTCATACGACATGGTGTACTGCATATATGAATATACATAGTAAATTTGATGTATAACTTTTAAAGTAATATACAATTTTGTATTGAAATATTACTTTTCCAAAGTTGTAGATTTATGTACTTTGGAGATAAAAAATGTATTGCAAAAGATCAAAAAATAACATATAAAATATATGGAAAAAATTAAAATAAAGAGCTTGTTTACGTTAGATCTTTATTTTTACGACAAAAGCTGAAACTTCAGTGGGCATTTGTAATTAAATAAAAAAAAAAGAACTGGAGAAATAATGGAGACCCTAATATATTACATACAGCTGTACGAGTTAAATTTCTTGCGCATACAATTACATAAGCTTTATTGTAAAAACACACAAGATTGTCAGAAACCATATACGCATGAAACACAAACACACACCATTGCAATCTTGCAAGCCTGCAATGCGGCTTTCTGCATTTCTTGGCATTTGCTTCTAGTGTGGTTGCTTGCTTTGCGGATTTTACTCGAGTCATGTTTGCAAATTGAAATTTACAGGCAAATTTCACTCAAGGCGACTGTGGAACAACAACAATTAATTTCAGTCAAATGTTGCATTTACCGCATTTAAATCTATGTTTACTGTAAGTTCGAGTATATAGTATACTATATTTCTTGTATGTCTTTAATCACTTTATGAATAATCTCAAAATAGCTTAATCGGCTTTGTAGCGGTTTCTCTTTTTTTACTTTGTGTGGTGGTATTATTTTGGTTAGCCATATATGTACTCACATTTTAACAATTTCTGTATTTGAGCTTACTTTTCACATATATAATAAAGAATTTGGATATTGAAGGAAATCTACACTAAGTTAAGTTAAATATGCAAGTACATATTTTTTTTAACGTCTGACATATTAATCCACGAAATATTGAAATCATTTTGCTAATAACTTATGATTTTGACACATTTTGGAGTTTTTCGATATTTTTATTCATTATTCAATTACCTTTTTTTCAGCTTTGTGTAATATTTTTGTGAATGTGATGTAATTTTTAGTTTCGAGAGGTAGTGATTAGAAGTAATCAAATTGTAAGCATAAGCATTAGTACATTGTTCAACAAAGTATTGATACATTATCTAGGCCCCTTCAAATATATACCTTTTTTTTTTGAATGTTGAAAAGAAAGGAGTGTGGTTATTTAGCAATGCGCCTAAAGGTAGGCAACATTTAATTTATGTATATTTTGTAGTTAGAGCTGTTATGTTTAGCTTGAGTATTAAAAAAGCTTTATTTTTAGCAAAACTCAAATGCTATATTTTTACTTCAGCTGAATATGTTCACTGAATTGAATTCAGCAAATATTTTACTAAGCCGCAGATGGCTAAGGCTTCTCCCCTTTACTCTATTCAGTGTTTTTGTAAAGTTTTTGTGAAGATACAGTTAAAATCTTTTTATTCAAACCAATGGTACAATAAAGTATGATATCCGAATAATTTTATGTAAGAGTTTAAAATTTTTAAAAAGTACGGCAATAGCGGAAAAAGTTTAGTTAGACAATAGTTTTTCTAGATAAACCCGTGTTTTTTGAAATGACAGCTTATCATTTATATTTGTTAATATAACAATATTTTTGGAGATTATAGCGATAGCTACTTCTTGGTGCGAAAAGGAAGTGTGAAAAATTTCTCAAATCTCATTCTATCTCAAAAACTGAGGGACAAGTTCACGTTTATACAGATGGACGGACCAACATTGCTAAAACGACGCAGCTCGTCACGTTTTCATTTATATGTAAACTTTATAGGGTCTCCACCATTTCCTTTTGGGTGTTGCAAACATCGTTACAAATTTAATAATAGCTAATAAGCTTCACCAATTTTGCTCCAGTTAAATTTGAATTTAAGAATCGAAAAAATTTGAAGTTTAATGTTCCTTCGCTACATGTTCGTAAAGATAAAACTATTTATTCTCTTAAACTATAAAGACCCATAATTTGGCATCTGGATATATATTAGTGGAATGGTTTCTGTAGCTTCCGATTTTTTTGGTATCCTTTATCAGCTGAAAAACTCAAATTTCGAACTACCTCGGCAAATATAATATAATGTTGCAGAATATCAGGTTTAATGTACATACCGTAAGATTGCTAGTGCGCCTATAATTATGCGATTTATATCTGATGCATAATTTAGTTGTCATTAGTACATTTCGCTTTAGTATCCTTACTCATCATTTTCAAAAAGCATATACGCTTATAAAACACTTCAGAAAGAGTATTTATATGTACACATGTTTG